GCACTAACAGTGACCTGCTCCAACACATTGGCTGCGGGCAACTGCATATAAACTACTCACATTTGTGACCTATGCATCCCTTTTACTTGCTTTTGCAGAATTAATATAGTGAGATCTTATAATTTTTCTTGTTAACTCTTTTCCTGAAAGATCTCTGTATATCAGCAGCCACATATACAAGTGATCCTGCAATAACAAAGCAAGTTGTGCTTCAACAGGAAGGAGACCCTGGAATAACATATGGCCTGCAGTGTAGGGATGTTCTCCCTTTTATAATGCTGTGCTAAGGTTCAGCTTTGCTGTAGGTTGGATTACTCCAAGGACTTCTCTGATTCAGAATACAGTGAATTGTGGATTCCAAGATGGTTTATTTATCCATTGTTCAGGTGATAAATTGGAGATGCGATTAATTTTCCATTTATTCCAGCAAAAATCAAAAGTATCTTGTTGAACATCCCAGAGTTTTACTGAAATAAAGTTCTCCAGACGTTCTGGCCCCCAAATCAATAACAATTTCTGTTTGATAACATTCACCTTAGCAAGGCTTTTGAGGTAAGTCATCCCATTTTGTTGTTTAGTATGTCTCAGTAGACCAGTTCCAAGTAACCTAATGTAGGATTATGGACTACTTGGAGTTTTGAAAGCCACTAAAATAACACCATAAATTACAAAAGAAGGCAATTGGTCTTATGATAACAGTAATCAAGACCACATAAACAAGACGCATTTAAGCTTAGTAAAAACAAAATTGTATACATTATGAATTTTTTTTTCCCCTGATGTTTGTCTTCTTTACCAACATAATTTTCTTACAACACACCTCTAGGATACATTTTCAGTACCATAGGTTTCTGTCTGGTAGAAAGCAGCAGCTGTTTCAGTTTCTAGAGGAAGAAATCAGAGACACAGAAGGGAATTCCTAAACTGGAATTTGGCCAGAATTTCATCAAAGTCAAGTGTCAAAATAAGTGAAGAATTTAGTAAATTAAGACAAAAAGGAGATTTAAGAAAAAAAGAAATTCCTTTGGCCTAACTCATTGCATTATGCTTCTCAGATGTGCTGATGTCTCTGAACTGTAGGAGCTAATGTATTCAATGGAATCCCCTTTAGAGCAAAGTGAATTTGGGCTGTCAGACCCTCCCGTTCTGGCCTTATAATTGAATGTCCTTGGTCTCACCCTATCATGAATGCTTTCTTAGCATTATATTTGTCAGAGTAATTTCTGTGGGAGTGTGTGAAATACCATGTAAAAATGTCAGTTCATATTGAGATTACTACTAAAATTCATTTTGCATGCCCTTGTGATCATTTGCACTAGTCATCAGTTATTTCTTCCAGCTATCTGAGGAACACTTGTCACTTCAACGGCTGACCTGTTTGCTGTGTAGAATCAGGTGAGGATTTGGCTTCTATAGAAGAAGTGCCAAGGAACAGGATAGTGTGTGTCCTTTTTCATTCCCTCTCCACTTTTCCTGATGGGAGTAGTACCGCCCCCAAAGTGGCGTTTGGCTGATAAACTTGAGCACTGAACTTCAGGATACATAGCACTGCCTTTTTAACAATGCACCACCCCAAATGCATGAATTGTTTGACAGGTATTTCTGTGATTCCAGGTTCCCTGTACCATATATTCACCTTTCTAGGGAAGGATGCCAGAGATGTGTGAGCAGAGTGAGCTCTTACTTGTCTGGGCAACACAGTGAGAAAGCCCTCAGGGCCTCTTACTGGAGAGGCAGAGATGGGGACAGAACGAGAGCTGATGTCTGGGCAAGGATGAGTTGGGGTCTGAGGGACCTGCAGAGCTGAAAATTGATACCTGCTAAAGTACTTGACTGACAGATAGTTAAGGGCATGAGGGGTCTAGGCAAAGAATTTAGAAGACAGATCCTGCCCAAAATATAGTCAACATAGAACTAGAATAACTCTAGTGATTTTGGAGGGAGTCATCACGTAGGTCTGAATCATAACTTTTAAATTTTTTAGATAGTGACTGTTATTTACCTGGGGCAAAAAACGCTCCTCTATCACTGTGCTGATTTCCCATTGCAGAGTTCAGCCAAATTTAACATTATGCTTTGCTCCTTTTTTCTTGGAGTTTGCTCTCACCTTATGTACAGAAAGATCTAAATTTACTAGAGCTTTATCACCTGCTTCAGAAAGAAACACCTCCTTTTTCTCACTGAATCTGCAAGTTAAGTAGCAATGAGCTCCAAACAGCCAGGGCAAGCTGAATACACTTGAGGCTCATGTAGTCAGTATGTCAGTGCATCTAATAATTAAAAAAATACAGTTCTGTCAGTTACTGTTCCCTGCAGACTTTTAACTTTAGTTTAATGCTGAGAAGCATATAAACTAGACTCCTTCACAGATTCATTTTGCCTCTTTCTTTTCTGGGTTTCCAATTTTGCTTTGATACATTTTTTTTATTGTACAATATTTACCATAGAGAGACTGGAAACGTCTTAATCGTTCAGATTTTATTAAGAATCTTTACGTTACAAACCAAATGAACATTTCCTTATTTGGAAACTTGTTCATTGCCACTCAGACTGTTTGTAGCACTAAGAGAGCATCTCACTGTATCCCAAAGCCTCGTTTCCTCAGCAACTGTCCTGAACCTGCAAAGGTAACATAAGGTGTACGAGACAGGAGAGGCCTGGGTGGTATCAAATACTTCAGATTGTCCCCAGTTTCCCTCTAGATGGACAATGATAAAATCTGGTTTTGTGGCTTTTTAATGTCTGAGGTATTGTCAGCTTGAGCAATGACTGTATGGTAACAAACGAGAACAAGGAAGAGGAAGTGAGCAATGTAGTTTTGTGGTTTAGACATAATAGAAAAAACAGCATAAATTAAGCAGACAAGCAATATATACAGCTAAGTTTGTTAAGGTACCTATAAAACATATGCAAACCTGTGTCCTGTGGAAATTAATGATCTAAAAGCACTCAAAGTAAATTGAATGTTTAAATATAGTGATTGTGATTTGGGGTACTTAGGGGACAACAACTTATATGACACTTCTGTGTGAAGAAATATGTATAGTCTGTTTAATAGTCTGATGTCTTGTGGTTCGAAAGGCAAAAATATTTTGCTAATTTTATAGTCACAATATCCTGTTAAATAATAGGCAACCTCACTCGATATTTTTCTTGTTGCTGTTCAAACTGATTAATGTTCTTGCTGCAACTGGAAAACCTCCCTCCCACAAGCACATACCTCAGTCACTCACCTAACTCAGTACCCAAACAGTCTTGTTTGTCAGGGTGAGCCAGCTCGAGCACATTCATGACCATTTATCCACTATTGAACTGAAAGCTGACAAATATTTTGTGCTGCACTGTCATTTTCAATAGCGGTAAAGAGATTTCCATGACAGGTTGTCCCTTCCGTCTTCTCACATGTAATTAGCCATTAACACAAACATATAGTGTTTGCGTTTTAGAAATACCAAAGTTGGTGGTTTGTTTGAGCCACAAGCGGAAGCAAAACAACTGGATATCTTGAAAACATTTATTTCAAATCAGTGAACTGTTACAAAAGGACCATCACGTTGCTGTATATAATACAGTATATCAGAAAGGTAGCGCCTTGAACAAGACACAGATGTAAATTAAAAGCTGCCTCATAACAGGATAAGACTCTGGTAAAGTATCAGTTATAAGGCAGCATGACAGTCTCCTTGGATCAAAAATGGATTCTCTACAAAGGCAATCTCCAGTCTTATGAAAAGCTAATGGCTTTTTTACTGGGGTTTTTACCATGTTTTCAGTGTGTTTTTAATTTAACAGAGCAACATGAATCTTTATACATTACTGCTGAACCTGAAGGATAAAAGCTAGCTGTCAATGGCCTAAATGAGAGGGACTAATTAAAAAAGATTCCTCATTGAAGGAAGGGTTCCCTACTCAGTTTCAGAAGACAAAGCTCATCTGAACTGGCACTCATGGCTTGCCTCTGCTTGCAGTCACGCAGTTTATCTCTCCTCTCACTCACACATTATCTCTATGGCAGAGACAGCGGATATGCATAAACAACGGTTATAAATGCAAAGTATTTACTGGAGATTTGGCTTGGATTAATGTATTGTCTTGTCTCTCTCAAGTGTCCCTATTCTTTGCCTTTCTCATTTCCCATGCCTCTCTTTTTGAAGAACTGCCCCAGATAAAAATTCCCTCTTGGCATCCATATTCTGGAGAGCAGTGCAGGATCTCGTCACCTCCTTTCCGTCTTCCCCTTCCACTCTGACAGCAGCAGCCTCTGGTATAGACAGATATGGTATCTGCAACTCCCGTTTTTAGTGACATTATTAACTATAAACTCTTTTCCCCAGTAAGGAAACCACAGAGGCAAGGAAGGGAGAGGGACTGTGGACTCCACTGCTCCAGGCACAGGGAGTGCTGCTGCAACAGGAGATTACTCATATTTGAGCTGCATCTTCAGATCCAGTAGGCTTCTGACAGCTTCCTTGTAGAAACATATACCGAATCTTTTCTAGATATTAATTATTCATCAGTGCAGTATGATTTAAAACACATGGGAATTCTCTTAGCAAGCTGTCCCTAGTAAATATGTGTTCTGTGAAATCCTGAGTTGGTTGTGTTGGTGGCAATATCTGTAGAGATTTCAAGGGACCTAGATTCTAATCTGGACTACTCAGTTTAGTCAAAATAACTTGAGTGTCAGTATGTCCAATAAATGAATGATCATACTTGTATATGACTTTTCATGTGTCTCTCCTAAGTACCTAAGTACTCCTCTACCTAAGTACTCATAAGGCTCCCATCACTACTGCATGCAAATGTGATGTAGATCTTACATAAAATCAACTTAGTAGAGCTATTCTTGATTTACAACGGCACTAGTTAAATCAGATGTGAAAAAAATTTCAAAAATGCCTCTGCAGAGTGTTTTGAGCGTTGTTCAGAGTGTTGTAAATCAGCCACAAACAAAGGTGTTTCTTACTGGAAGTGGAACAGAGGTACTGAACTGTTGCAATGTAAACACAAATACCTTACAGCTGGGGCATGGCCCCTCAGACTCACCCCTGGGTGCAGAACAAGGTGAGATAAGTAACATGAATGGAAGGTTTTATTTAATCTCCTGACTTGCTGCAACAGAGCGAATTACTGGAGAATGTGCTGAGTGACAGTTTTCTTAAAAAGATTGTCTTGAGAATGCTTTAACACTGATAAAATGGTGACTAACATTTCAGAGCTGTTACAACACTGTACCTGCAGAAAGGCCACTCCTTGGGAATCAGTCCAACAAAGGGAGAGTAAGCTACAAGAATAAAGGAGGGAAAAGACCTGCAGAATGTAGAGACAAGAATTAGTGAGAAATACTATTTACACATGTGGAGTAGGCCCCTCTCCCTAGTGTCAAAGCCACAGGTCAGTCAGGATGTGCAAGGCCTGAGTGTCACTGTTTGTCCTTTGACACTGCTCTGTGGCTGATATGGCGTTATGCAAGACAAAGGGTGAGCTGACTCACAAAATGAGTCCAAATCTCCTCCTGCTGAAGCAAACCTCTTCCTCCTCGAGCCTCAAGCCCTCAGCGAGTCAACCTGCTTCTCCTGATTCATCAGCTATCCTGTCCATGGCCACCTGAGCTCCTAGTTCCTTTGCTCGGCACCCCTGCTGCCACTTACAGCACTAAGGAATATAAATCTCTCCTGCAGTGTATGAGAGCTTTTAACCTCCAGTTTGCCCAATTGCAAATGAAAATCCAAGGGGAAAGGCAGAGGGGAATGTGAGAACAGTGCTGGAAGAAAGGAGGACAATGTTTAAATCCTTAGCAGCCATGCTTTGAGCTTGCCCTACCTGACTGTAGCATATGGTGTTTGTAGGGCCTAGTGCTGCAGGAGTCTGCTGTCTTTGGGACATGATATTTAAAATGGTGAGCACACACACACAAGCACACATGCACAGAGGGCTGATTGCTTGTACCTGCTAAGGTTTTGACTTTGCGCATTTGCAGCTACAAAATCAATAGGCTTCGTGTCCCAGACAATTTCAAGAGTGGTTTTATTTTGTTTTCCTGACTCCCCTCCTTACTAATTTAAATTGGAAGAAAGCTGTTTTCTTTATTTTAATTGCCTACCCTAAACTGTGATAGTAATTTTCTGTGTGTTTCACTGTAGACAGGGCTGTTCCAGAACAAATGATCTTCAAACTTTAAATATGTCTATTACTGTGTAATTCACCCACCATTTGTCTGTGGGTAGAGAGGTTGCCTTCAACCTGCTTTGGGCATTTAACAGGCAATTGGAAATTTAAAGTCTATCCAAGAGTCTAGTTTTCAAGGGTTTTTTCTTCCTTTTTAAAAAAATTAGATGTTCTTACTTCATGCATTGATGTTATTTATAAGAATGACAAGAAAATTTCCAAGCCAGCAAGTTTTGAACTATTGATTAAGCCCAAACAACTCTGAATACAGTAGCCTAAAGCCTGCTAGCTAAATGCAGATCAGTGTCTTCCCCAGTGGAACAGAGAAAGATTTTTCAACAGCAATTAAAGCTGTTGGAGCTGATGCTGTGGCTGTGAGGCCTGAAGCTGTGGACAATGGCAATTCTGCCAGTCATTTCTGCCATGAAAACATCAGTCAGTCCACAAGTACAAACACATTAGCATGTGCAGCTGTCAGTGCACTACTTTCAGACACTGTCCTCACTTTTTGCTTCCTAAGCTTTCAGTTGGCCCTGACTGCACAGTTTATACAGACTAGTTATATGTATATACTACTACTCACATGTTTCTCAAAATCACTGGAAATGGGCTGTCCCTATTCTGCATCATTTGCTTTTGAGGGTTCCTGGTGCACAGAAGTATGTCCTTCTCTAGTAAGCTGAAATGAATTCTTTAATCCAAAAATATCTGTCAATGGGGCTAATGGCTAAGCAACAAGAGCAGGCCAACTCTTCTGAAGGGTAGCAAATGACAAGAAGGGGTTGTGACCTTTATCAGCAAACCTGCCTTGTGGTACTTCCAGGTTACCCTGTCAGTGGGTGTTGCACAACCTGTCGGGTCATTTAATGGGGTTGTTACTGATGAATGAGAGAGTTGGTTTCCTCTTGTCAAGTCTCTCCAGCTACCAAGTACCAAAGGATCTGCCTCTTGGATGCTGTAGTGTCTTCTGGGGGCTTTGCAAAATGGATTATCAAAAATACATTCCTGGCCATACTTCAAACAGTAAACCACTTTCTTTATGAGATTAGTGATGGGTCATTCTGAGCAAATAAATATTTGACAATAAGTTACCACATGTGGACAAATGCACCGCATTCTACGACCTGTGACTGAAGTATGGGGTTAAAAAAATCTGATAGTAAATAGAATGGGCTAAGGTTGACTACCAGAAAAAAAAAAAAAAAAAGAGGAATTAGAAAAAGAATTCATCTAAAAGTTTTTGGAGCTTCTTATTTCCTAAAGTTGAGCACAAAAATTGATGTAGTCAGCAGCAAGCTGAAAAAAGATAAGTTTGGGGGGATTTTTCTAATTCATGATATTCTACTAATCAGGAAGTGCAAATTATAAATGCTTGAGAACAAGCCCTTTATAAAGCTGTTCCAGATGACTGTTATCAGACTAGTTACCTGGGACTTCAATTTGGAAGAAGTTATGCAATACAACACTTTGGAGTAATCTGATTATGACCTGAAAATAAGCAGGTAGACTGATGAAGCTATGAAGGATGAACCTTTACATGTTTAGATCAGGATACAGTAGCAATACAGTGTTGAAAGACATGGTAACTCTGACCCATGCTTCATAAAAAGTTGTTGATAATAGTGCTGGAATAGATGAAACCAATTAAGCAAGTGATGAGTCAGGTGGGGTTTAGGGGGGTTATGACTGGGTCATGACATGATTATGATAATGAAATATTATCTGTGTTTTCAGTAGCATCTTTCATTACAAGAATAACATCTCCCTAAATGTGTTACTCTGAGTAGGAAATTACAGCGACTACTCCGGAAGGAGAAGTGGTTCTGTGTGCCAAGTTCAGTGCAGTGAGGCACTGCCCATAAGATAATCAAGCAGAAAAACTATGTGCAGGTACCCAAGAAGTATTGTGTACTCCCTGACAGTATACCTGTGAAGCACACTGTTGGATTGAGCTATTATTTACAAGTCTAATTCCCTTACCTTTTCCCTTGCCCTGAAGAGAGCAAAATTGCCATAGGAATGTATTTCTAACATGCAGCAATTGAGATCATGTGAGGATGGTAAA